CTGACATGTTCACAAAACCTCTTCCAGTGTCCAAGTTCAAGCTTTGCCTGAACTTGATTGGCGTTTATGAAGAATGATTTTGCCCATTGGGGTTTTTGCGGATAAGGTGGATCAAATTTACTATAAATAAGCCGAAATTAGGCCAAGGTGGAGATTTATAATATGGCCAAATTTTCATGACATTTGCCATGACATAATATCCATTATAACAAATTTGTGGTTCATGACATTTGCCATAACATAATATCCATTATAACAAATTTGTGGATCATGACATTTGCCATGACATAATATTCATTATTAGGCCAAGGATTTCTTGCTATAAATAGAGGAGTTTCTCCTCATTTGAAAACACACCAATTGAAGAGCTTTTTACTCTTGTCTTTCTTTCTCCTCCTTTATTTCATTATAGAGTATTTTGTAAGAGAGTGAGTGTTGGGAAACACTTGTGTGAACCCTTTCTTTTGGAGTGATCTTGTGAGGTTATTCTCTTGGGGTATTTGGTAATTAGAGTATTTACTCTAATTTTGTACTCTCTTTTGTACTCTTGTTGGTAGAGTGAAATTGCTTCTCTCCGCTTGTGGACGTAGGTCACTTTGACCGAACCACGTTAAATTTTTGTCTTCTTTATCTTCTTTAATTGCCATTATTATCAACTTGCATTGTCTTTGTTATTATCATTATAACGTTGTTTGGCTAAATTTCGCACTATCCGGTTTCCCGATCCGATATAGGATATATAGCTTAATAGATCATGACTTGTGAAATAAAAGAACAAAGAGATTAAAGTATTTAAACAACACTTGCTAAAAAAACAATCATACACGAGTGGGTTGAAGTTCTTAGCTCTATAGAACTAAGAACTTGATGATGATCATTGATAATTAGGCAAATACAAAAGAAAGCACCATGAATGAAGTCTTGACTTCAAATACTTCTTTTAAAAATTAAAAAAAATGGAGTCGTTACTTCTCTTTGAACAAAAAACATTGCATACAATTAGTTAAAAATACGTTTGGCCAGTGAATTTTGGCTTTTTGATTGTTCAAAACATTATTTTCCAAACTGAGAAGCCAATGTCATAGACTCATAGTCTTTGTGTTATTTTCCACTGCCTTATCAGTAAAGATGAATTACACTAGTTTAGGTTGATGTAATTAACTTTCTTTATTCCAAGTTTACCTGATTAAAGTGAGTACTATTTTGAAAAATAGAGAGGTTAGGGGGCTTAGAAGTTCTTGCTTGCTGTTTGTTGTCTTTTTCGTGAGCCTTTAGATCACTTTTTAGGATTGAAATACTAGTCAGTTTAAGTTACTAGGTTCTAAATTAATAATTTGTACATACTCAATAGATATTTTAAGAGAAATATAGAATTTGGAATAAAATTATTAGGTTCAGTCAAACCCGTAGCATGTGTTCTTGCTCCACCCTTGTCTACTAATGAATAAAATATTCTAGTTTTCCATTCTTGGTTAACCATTATGATTCATTTCATTAAAATAAGATTATTTGATGTCTTGACCTTACTTTGAAATGTGCTGGAAATAGGATATTGGAGTGCATACACACTTTATCTATCTATAATTTTGAATTTTTTTGCTTATGAAAAATCAAATCTCATTGATCTTTTAAGTTGTAGCTACCTATTCAATTAAGATAAATACTAAAAAACCATTTTGTTGTTCATAAAACAAATTAAATGAAAGTGAGACCAACATAATACGCATAGAAAGGTGCATACATTTACGCTAATAAATACACAGCTACGTTCGTAGATTCGTGTGTATATGTAGTGCTTAGCCATAAACATTTACTTCTAGATTATATTCCAAACTTAGTGTTTTTTGGAAATTTAAATTTAATTAGTCATAATATTTGAACTGATTGATTTAAATATCTTTAATTAAAGAGACTACATTATCTATAATTACAACTATAAATATCATTACTTTTACATATATGTGCTTTTGAATTTAACTTCCATTTGGTTTAAGTAGAATATCTTAGTTCACGATAAATGTTTTTTTTTATCTTTGGGAGTGTAATATGTAGTTGTAGGAACTAAAAATATTGTACCTATCGTTAAGAAAATAATAATAATGAATGTAATAATACCGTTAATTAATTAATCCTTTTTAATTATATATTTACTAGTAGTTGCCGTTGTTATATTAACCCTAAATAAAAGTTTTATCAAGATTTAACTAGGAAAAGGTTGAGTAATGCACAAGAAATCACAATGGTACATTTAGGAAATCCATGTCTGAGGAATACAGCACTACGCTAGCGGAGGAAATTACCCTCTCCTCGTCAAAGTAGGGTTTTACAATTTGGAAATACAAAGATACCAAGAAAATTAACTAACAGCACCTTAACGTCTACTTATTGAAAACCTTTTCCACATCAAATAAGGATTAAGGAGTTTCTATAAATTAGCTATGTACCATTTGTTATTTTCACAATCATTCATTTAGCTTAATAGAGAAAGAAGAAAATAATTAAGAAGACGAATTATGGAGTGGAAAAAGCTTTCCGTTCTTGGTGCGGGCACTTACGGCAAAGTATACTATGCAGTAAAAATTGATTCGTTTTTGTTACGTGCTTCGGTTGCTGCTGTAAAATGTGCAGATCTTTGGCGTTCAATATCACTCCAGAGAGAAGCACATATCTTGGAAACTCTAAGAGGTAGTCCTAACGTGGTTCAATTCTTTGAAGCAGACGTAAGCATTGAAAACAATATTCCAACTTACAATCTGTTTCTTCAATATGCATGTGGTGGATCACTGCACGATTTGATCAATTCGAAGAGAGGAAAGATGTCAGAAGTGGAAATAGGTTTCTATGCATATCAACTCTTAAAAGGTATTCAAGATGTTCATAAAAAAGGGTGGGTTCATTGTGATATTAAACCTGCTAATGTTCTGGTTTTCGAAGCGAATGAACGTGGCATGCACAAGTTGAAGTTGGCTGACTTTGGATTATCGTTGAGAATTGGTGAAGGAATGGCATATATGACTGGAACTCCATTGAGCAATCGAGGGACTCTACTATATGCACCCCCAGAATCTTTAACGTGTGGTTTTCATGCAAATTCATATGATATATGGTCACTAGGTTGTACTGTGGTAGAGATGATGACTGGGAGTCGTGTTTGGATTTGTCGCGATACTAAAGATTTGCATTGGCAGATTATGAATGAAGAACCTGTGATTCCGAGTAATGTTTCTAAGATTGCTAGAGATTTTTTATACAAGTGTTTTATAAAGGACCCTCTAAGAAGATGGACAACTGAACAACTACTTCAGCATCCTTTTATTCAGAGAGCTTTATGTACTTCTAATTCGATGCCTAAAACTCAAGAGATGATAGCAAGGGTTGGTCCATTTTGTTGTAAACTTCCAACCGCAATACGTGAGAAGGACTTCATCAATTTGCTCTTTGAAAGTAATTTAAGGATACAATGAAGCAAATAAGACAGCAAAAGTACTTAGATGGCTTGACAATAGTGTATTATTTGCAGAACCCACAAAATGAGTAATCTCCATTCTATACCTTAGCAGATAGCTGAGATATGTTGTATTCCTTTCTATTTAATATGGAATCAGCAGTTATGTTCAAGTATAATACGGTGTAATAATTCCTTTTGAATGATGTTAACTAGATTCAATTATTTTCTGTTTTTCATTCAGTTATAGCTACTTGTGCTACAAGGAATTTTGCTACCTTGGGACAGTTAGAGTTACGCCGTTTAAGTACCGGGGCTTGCTAGCTAGAAGACTGTATTTAAAGAGGTCTAGTTAGAAAAACGAGTAAATGGATTATCAATACATATTATGCTTCATAATATACATTGTACGTACTTGGTGATTTTTTGTTCTTTGAAGTTTCCAAACTGCGGTTCTATATAAAGAAATGGCTTGGCATAGTGAACTTTTGTATTCCGCAGCACCAATGAAGTCTGGTTTTCTTAGGTGGAATTCTCTTCACCGCCTTCTCTAAAATTACTGATTGTTCAGTTTCTTCAGGAAAACTGCCTTTCCATTATATTCAGTGCAATATATTTAGTGGGATTCAGACTTGAAACCTCTTATAATCTCAAAAACTCTACTTTAACCACTAAGTCAAACTGTGCTAGAAATAGATATTACAAATGTTGGACTAAATTCGGATAGTTTCCAATCATTGACACATCTATAGATACTCTGATCAAGAGAACACTCTCCTTTCTATTTCGCTGGATAAATAATCTACAAATTAAACTCATATGATCCCAAGTAACTGTACTAGATGAGTAGAAATAGTCTTGTGTGATAAACTGATAATATTCTCAGACCCTGCTTACTCCAAAATCTGCAATCTTGTTTTATTTGTACTTATCAGGATGTTTGATCAGTTTATGTCTATTTACTACATGCAATGCAGACAATGCCACACTTTCGTACGAGCTCAGAAATGATTACTTTCGGATGATTTCTGTCACACAAGAACATTATAGAAAACCAAAAACCAAGTAGTTCTCCTATAAACAGATGCATTTGATGTTTAATAGTAGTAACTAACTACAGTGAAATCCCCCAGCAAGCTACGGGTTACAGTCTTGCATTGACTTGGTATAGGCAGGATGTGTTGTGAAGACTGAGAATCTCACTTCTAATCATGTAATCAACTCGCGCAAGCAAATTACTACTTGAAAACATATAATTTGCCACCAAGTCACAACCAATAAATTAAGTTATCTATTCAAAGCCAACAATCTTGCAAAGAAAGATGAATGAAACATAATCACATAAAGATAAATAAACGTGAAAATATTCCTTTTATGTCAACTCCTTGCAAGGATGATGCTAACAGACTAGTATATACAAGGGTTAAAAGGATCTGCCGGTTAGCAGCATTAAAGGCTATAATTTCTACATACTTCTATGACCAGAGAGTTTTTTTTTGGATAAACCAGAGAGCTTATAGAGTGAGAAATTAAAGAAGGAAAAAGGAAACCACCATAAAAAATTTACTATGCACTATCCTTGCAAGGAGTTGATCAAAGAAATTAGTAATGACAAAAGCAACAAAACATTTTAAAACACAGGTAAGCAGCAGCTATAACTGATGGAAGTTATAAGTTTACCTAACATCAAGTGAATTTCTCTTGCCAATGATTAGTCCAGAAAGGGGAAAGAATACCTTGCCAAAGTTATTAATTATTCACGGCTGTTTCACAGCATTCATCTCAGCTGTTGTATCAGTTCTTCTCATCATTGTTGCCTCAATTTGGTATTCTGGTGACACAGCGTGTAATGCCGCGAAACAGCATTCAGCTTTATGTAAGGAAGAAACAAAAAAACTGAGATGAACTAATCCAGATGAATCACGAAGCTAACGAGTTACCATATATGCAAGGAAATCCAGGACAAAGGTGAAAGCAGGTATTAGAGCTACTATCTTATGGGAAGTTGCCCATGACCTAAAAAGTTTAACACAAATGTAGTTGATCTAAGAAATTAATAACGACAAAAGAAACAAAACATTTTAAAACATAGATAAGTAGCAGCTATAACTGATGGAGGTTATCAGTCTACCTAACATCAAGTGAGTTTCTCTTGCCAATGGTTAATTAGTCCAGAAAGGGGAAAGAAAAGCTTGCTAAAGTCTTTAATTATTCACGGCAGTTTCAAGGCATTACACGCTGTGTCATGAGAGTACCTAACTGAGGCAACAATGATAAGAAGAGCTGATAAAACAGCTGAGATGAAAGTAAAAGCAGATACAACTTCCATGTGTTCTCTACTTCCGCATGGTACTTCCCACACAGGATGACTATCATTTGATTCGGCACTCTGTTTGCCTAGCGAAAACAAACAGCTCGAGGCATGTTGATTTCCTTTAGCGTTGCAGCGCAGAAACAAGTCAGGTGAAGCAAATTCAACTCTTGAGAATCCGTGTCCTAGTGGCTGCCAAGAAAAAGCTGGGATGTTACAGTCAATAGTTGAGAAGGTTCTAAATAAATGTACATGTACCTCCCCAAACAAAAAGTGACCAAAATTATGGTAACTTACAGCTTTTCTTGTAAAAGTATCAAATAACTTCAGGGGAATAAAATGACTACCTTTGAAGCCTGAGACGTACTTTAGAGTTTCCTACATAATTTTGAGAATGTTTTATGTGATGTACCTGATAACGTGCATGTAGAGGGAGTTCCATGTATATTTCCTGTTCATCCTTTTGTTCTGATATCAAATTGGAACCCATTTTCAGATGAACCTCAACAAGTGACCTGTTTGACCGAAATGAGGGTAACTCTAAATTTGTATCTCCAAATACAGCAGCCTCCCTAAGAACTGCAACAAAATATGGACACGGACAAGCCTCAAAATCAAGAGTTGCAGTGGTAGAAACCTACATAATCTGATAGTAATTTACCACCACGCTGCACAAGGTGTTGTAGCTCAAAAGGATCTGCAAAGACTCCAGAAGGCAGTCTTTCAACAATTATCACCTCACAAGATTTTGGAGGGCTAGAAAGGTACTCCGCTGACATCTTCAATCTGAGAGATGATGACAGACGCCGGTGGGAGCCTTCACCAATCAGCTTTCGACGTAAAGCAGACAGCTTTGGTGCTAATTTGACATTGTCTTGCAGCAATACACAGGCGCCGGACAGAATGTCATGTGCAATGAAATCTTCAAACTTTGAGTCTACCAAATTGTCATGTTTGCTAAAGTAGGATTTTGCAACATATTTATCAAGATAAGGTGCAAGGACCTGAAGAAGATCGGAGGAAAGTTACTAAGAGATGTTTTTTTGTTGAGAAAAAAAAGTTACTAAGAATTATTGAAACAAATTAATGGTTGTAAGATTCAATTGAGTCTAAAAGTTTTGTTGGCAACGCCATTTACAGTTTTCTGTAAATTAGTATATTACTATCACCCGAATTACATGCATTGAGAAATAACTGCACATCTTGAGCTTGTTCAGCAGCTAAGTCACTTACTTCATTTGATACTGCAGTACCAAGACATGAGCTGATCGTAGAAATTCGTATCACTGCAACGATCATCACCAAACATCGTGCCAGAAGATCGTGAAGTTCCATTATAGATCTGAACAGGTTGAATGGCAATTAGGCATTGACTCACTAGACGCGTAGACACATAATATGTGTAATGCATTTACACTTCTGACAAACATATATAGGTGGTGGAATGTTAAACCAAATTATTATCCTGATTTAAAAATAAAAATAAAAAAGAATCCTATAGCTTCTAGCACAACTCAATAGATATTATTACCACATTAGTGGATTTACTATTGAAAGAAGAACATCCTACATTCTTGCATAACTAATCAGAAAGTCAGATGACCTCCTTCACATGGCATTTGTACATAACTTCCCGGTTACCAACATAGATTGAGGCTTATGAGATGCAGCTCAAAAAAACCATTCAGATAAAGGCATATATATGATTTATCCCACTCATGAGTACTGCTGAAAGTATGCTAAGCAGATCTTCTTGAGAATGCCTAACATTTTACTTAATTAGAGTAACAGCAAAATTCATTTCTCCTCCATATTGAGTTCATTTTGGGTTCATAACAGTATCGAATCGTCTAGAATCTATTAAAGGAGTTGAATTCAAGCCCTGTCTTGATATGAAACCCAACTCTTGGTTCAATCTTGGCTCCATAATTAGAAAAGTTTTACCATGATTTCAAGTGAAAATTCCAAAATTCAAACGAACATCAACAAATTTTTATATTCTAAATAGCATCAACAAATTAACCACAATAATATACCACCTGATAAATCTAATAGATAAAGAAAATAAAGGCAACATCATTATATATGTTCCACATGAAATTTATTTCTTAAAAAAAAAAAAAAAAAAAAAAAAAAAA